GATAGAAACATGTAAATTGGTGTATCGCAAATTTGAAATAAAATTAGTCAGTACAGCTGTAAATGACTGGGTTAGCGAACACCAACGCTAATTATTAAATGTCTTTAAATTTTAATGATTATCAATTCATCTGGACGGTAAAAAATCCGAAGCCAAAAAATTAAAAATTAAAAATAACAAGGCTATGCCTCGGTATTTTATAAAAACTCAGTTACTTTTGTTAACAACTCACCAAAAATTGTATTAAGTCGTCTCTCAGCTCAGCTTTATAAGAGCGGTGCAAGAGCAAGAGCACATAGTCCATATAAAACGCGAAGTAATTTTTTTGCTTCAAATTGATTATAGTAATAAATAAACCGATACTCAAATACAGATTTGGCAAATCTAAGTTTAACAAATATGAACGAGCTTTTTTATTATGCTAAATACTGTATCTAGGGCACAGTATACTTCATTAATTAATATTCGACCATAATAAGAAAATTAAAAAACATGTCTCATTTTTGTAAATAATAATTTTTTTTTTTTAATAAACTATGTGATTCACCGGATCTTTGTGCATAGCAACAGAAAAAGGAGTATGTAATAAAATATAAATTGGAGAGACAATTTGTAGAAAAATAAAAAAAAGGAAGTTAAAGAAATTTTGTCAATAAAGATATTTAAGTCCGCGGGGAGGAGAATAGACCCAAAGCCCATCCCCACATATTCATCATAATATAAATGCATGTACTATTCTACACGCCCGTTCTAATAATAATCTGCGTTTCCGTACCGTGTGTACTAACTACTAGGATTTCTCATTTTTAGAGTTAAGATCAGCGGGTTTGTCTTGTTTCCACCGGTAGCAATATCGTGAAGGATCAATATTAGATATATATTTATTACCTTATTCCTCCCACTGGCAAGTTAATAACCGCTTCGTTTTGGGCGATCCTAAGAGTGGCTTCTATCCGCTGGCTCAGTCAGTCAGGCTTTATATTATTTATGTCCGACCTACAATGATGTTAATGAATGAATGAATATATATATATAAAGATTGAAGTTTTTAAATTTCTTGCACTGTTCGTATGTCTACTTAACGTGCTACGTAAAAACTAAAAACTCTTAATTGATTGATTTATCATGAAAAAAACATCTTGTAACTTTGTCATGTCGTGCCAATTCTTTATATTGCTTAGTTTTTTCATTATATCAACATCAACGAAATCAGTGCAGATTTCCAATTGTACAAATTTGCAGCTTACACCAAACACTACTAACTGTACACAATTTACCTATACAGAAACACAAAATACTTCGTCCTCCCAATCACAACCTTATGCAATTGATATTCAATTTTATGATGACGGAACAACTCTCATACATCTTGTTAGAAATACTGATACTGAGCATTGTTTTGAACACATATTACGTATAAGAATTATCCATTTAAATGGATCCGTCACTGAAATTGATGATCCAGATTTAAATCTTGATTCTGTGAATTATTGCTTATTTTACAGCAATTTTACTAACAAAATGGTGAATCCTATTTCAATACGTCCCTTAAGACAACAATTTATATTAGTGAGTTATTTGAATGGCTCAAATTATTGGGGAGCTGTTCTTAATTGGAAGGGCGAAAAATTAAGGTCTGATGATAATTTATATTGCAAAATCTTACCTAAATATTTTTAAGAATAAACTAACTGTTAATATTATTATTTATTATTTAAATTACCAGTTCAATACCTTTTGAACCATTAATTGGCAATAGTTATGTTAGCCGCTATAATCAGCATAATTTAATTGAATTTAACATAAACAAAGAACTAGGATTTCTTAGAGTAGCAGACAATCTATTCAGCGGAACCATCACTATCACACAATATTCAGTGTAATTTAATTTTTCTAATAATCTTATTTTTTTTTTATTTTATTTTTTTTATTTAATCAATAAAAACATTGTAATAATTATAGTGATGCTAATGGAATTTTATCAGAGTTGGTGAATTTCAATTATGCAGTAAGAATTACAGGCAGTGCAGACAGTAAGGTTACCACTTTTACGTCATTGGCCACCGTTGATGAAGGCTATGCAGTATTGTATTTTAAATATTCAGACGTTGGCGGCAGTGCATTGATGAATACATTTGGTGGATTATATGTCAGCTTTATAGGTTACAATACAACTGATACAACTTCCTTTGACAATCCTATCCTTCTCTTTCAAATAACTAGTGATGAAATGAAAATTAATACAGTTCATTGTAATGCATGTTTTGGATTTTGTTACTATTGTGTTGCTTCCATCAGCTACAACAACACAGTATACTATGAAGAGATTACATTTTGCTCAGTAAAGATTATATATTCCGGATTATTAGTAAATACTCCCACCGAAACTAGTATGCCCTGGAATGTTATGTCTTCAACACCTGTCGGCGGATATGTATTTTCTGCTGTGGTTAATGCCACTCGCTCTATTTATATCTATGACATTGATCGTAATACGAAAGTTAATTTGACGTATTTTGATACAACTGATATTGGTGCATATAGCATCTTGAAAAATAATATTACCCATTTATTCCCTTTACGAGATATAAATGGTAAAAATACATCTTGGTCTTTGCTTGCTGTTCAGTTACCTAAAACACCAGCTTGTACGTTTATAAATACTTATTCATAAATACTCTTTCTTATTCATAATTCATAAATACTTATTTATTTACCATTCGTTATTTCATTCGCATTTAGCCTGTGAGTATAAAGATGATTTATAAATCGATGGAATTAAAATCATAAACATAAATACTTATTCATGAATACTCTTTCTTATTCATAAATTTATAAATACTTATTATTTCATTCGCATTAATTTAGACTGTGAGTATAAAGAAAATTTATAAATCGATGGAATTAAAATTATAAGCATAAATATTTATTCACAAATACTTTTTCTTATTCATAAATCCATAAATACTTACTTATTTACCAATTATTATTAATTCGCATTAATATAGACCGTGAGTGTAAAGATGATTATAAATTGATGAAATTACTGTAAAATCATGGGCATAAATATTATTCATAAATACTCTTTCTTATTAATAAATTCATTTAGACGGTGAGTATAAAGATGATTTATAAATCTATGGAATTAAAATCATAAGCATAAATACTTATTCATAAACTCTCTTCCTTATTCATAAATTCACAAATACTTATTCATTCATTATTTCATTCGCATTTAGTTAGTAAGTATAAAGATGATTTATAAATCGATGGAATTAAAATCATAAACATAAATACTTATTCATAAATGCTCTTTCTTATTCATAAATTCATAAATACTTATTTATTTACCAATAATTCATTATTTCATTCGCATTAATTTACGCCATTTATTATTTCATTTGCATTTAGACGGTGAGCATAAAGATGATTTATAAATCGATGGAATTAAAATCATAAATACTTATTCATAAATGCTCTTTCTTATTCATAAATTCATAAATACTTATTTATTTACCAATCATTCATTATTTCATTTGCATTAATTTAGGCTGTGAGTATAAAGATGATTTATAAATTGGTAGAATTCTGTAAAATCACGCGCATAAATTCTTATTCATAAATACTCTTTCTTATTCATAAAATCATAAATATTTATTACCATTATTATTTCATTCGCATTTAGCCTGTGAGTAAAGATGTTTTATAAATCATGGAATTAAAATCATAAGCATAAATATTTATTCATAAATACTCTTTCTTATTCATAAATTCAACTTATTTACCAATT